TGTAGTGCACTGTGTGAAGGAACCATAACTTAAAACAAGAGATTAATTTCTCACAATAGAAGCCAGTGCGTAACTGTTGGACATATCTTTCCAACGCCGATAGAGCTATCTCCAACAACTTATCAAAATATCTACCTTGACATTCCAGGAAACACGTGGTTGCGGGAGATGTGCATCTTTGGTCAATGCATTTACACGTTCAAAGACGCTGGGATTTTTGTGCTGCTATTTATTGACGCACACTGCATTTCATTTAATTCAATCATGCGTCACTATGAAAATAAAAAAAAAAGTAAAAACATATGTTGTAACCTGCGAAAAACCTAATGAAATGTTGTGATTTTAATAGCTAAAGCTCTTGATTATGTCACTATTAGATTTTGTTTCAGTCAGCTACAGCTCTTTGCTCTTTCACTTTTAGAGTTTGACTCAGTCTGTGACAGATCTTTATTCTGTAAGAATTATAATTTCGTCTCATTTAGTTTCAGCTCTAGTCTCTGTTTGATGCATCTTCTGGGCTCTATTAGCTAAATATATTGGATCTGATATATGTTGGGGGTTTTGGTCTTGTTCAAAACAGTATTGATATTTATTTACGTGTTAACCTTATGTTTGCCGTTTAATGAAGTATGCTCCAAAACTAACGGTACCAAATTCCCCGCCTATAAATCAAATATAAAGCCATTGACTCTGCAAGGAACAGCTCTTTGGCTCCGCCAGGAAGTAGTTTCTTTTTGGTATTTCCTCATTTCACACATTCACGCTCAACATTATAAAAGGAAGAGCAGATTGGCTAGTTAGTTAAATCAACTTTAAGTTGGCAGTTCCCTGGAGTAACTTTGTAAGTACGTCTTTACAATTATTACTGTATTTGCTTAGTCATAACATTAAACCATTTAGAGGAAGCCGTATGTGATAATAACAAAAAGTGACATTAATTTGATCTTTAAAAAAAAAAATGCAGTTTAGTAAGCAAATGGTGTTTGTTTCAGAGAATAACCCATTGATTACTATTTTCAAGCTAATATATTAAAACAAACGTTTTATTCATTATTTAAAACATGTTTATGAATATTATTCAATCTATTTAATTAAGTTTTGCAGTTGACATGGGTTGAGTTCTTCTTATATTGATAATAATCATTTAAACTGATTTCTGATGGCTTATTATATTGTTTCTTACATGTTTGTTTCCTGTTTGTCTAGTTTTACAAATTACCTATTTGAAACAGAAAATTTAAAAAGATATTCATGAAACTTCTTTTTTTTTTAAAAATCATAATTAAAATATGATTTATATGTTTTGATCAATAAAAAGAAAATATTATAAAATACTTTAAATATGGTAATGTACATCTAGTTCGAGTACAGCAAACATGTTGATTCATGTTTTAAAAAAAAAAAAAGTCATGCTAACTTTTGAATCAAGATTGAACCGCATGTTTCTATAGGCTTTTGTTCTCTATAAAAAGAAAATATTATAAAATACTTTAAATATGGTAATGTACATCTAGTTCGAGTACAGCAAACATGTTGATTCATGTTTTAAAAAAAAAAAAGTCATGCTAACTTTTGAATCAAGATTGAACCGCATGTTTCTATAGGCTTTTGTTCTCACTTCCTCCCCCAACTCAATGGCGCCGGTAGCCCGGATTTACCAACTTTGTCGCATTTAGGCTCGAATTTCTCTGACGTTACTGTAAATGAACCTATAGCACGGTTGAATAACCTTGTCCCACTGACTCGACCTATCAATTGAATCTTTCAAGCTCTTAAATCCAATGTTCGGTTTTATCCTGGTTTATAATAAGACACGTTATGTTCATTTTATGAGAGCTAAAAGTGGAAAAGTAAAAGTACCAGGAAGGTAAGGGGGAAAAGTCGCGTCTTATTCAAAGTTCTACTTACCCCGCAACCAGGCTGCCTCTTATATAAGGTGTGTCTTATATACGGATGCTTCTAATATAAAATATGCTTTACTCAAATCTTCACAACCCGTGTCTTAGATATGGGTTTGTCTTATAATTAGGTGTGTATAATATGCGCGGAATTACGGTAAGTATTTTTAACACGAACGAGTTGTACAGTATGTGATATTGAAGGACGATTCTCGCGGTCGGTATTTACTCTTCATGATTTTTTATTCACAGTTGTAAAAAAAAAAATGTGCGTAGGTATTCAGTAATGAGCACGTGTACCAATCCAATGCAGGCGACTTCAAATTTCAAATCATTTCATTTCATTGTTATGTATATAAAAAAAGCCCTCTTTACATCCTGCGCTAATTTTAGACACTCAACCCATACGCTATTGGCCCGGAGGTAGAAAAAAACAACACAATAATCGATGCGGTCCTACCTCAGACAATTCTTTTATCTACCGGTAAACTAAAAAATGGTAATGAAGCCTTGTTTACATTCGACGGGTGATGAAACATTGGACACATTTTCATTGATCATACAGAGAAGGAAACCACTGGACAGACATTGCTCAGTGCGGCAGGTGGCTAGGCCAAGTGCGTCTTATGTCATTTTCGTTTACACAAATCAACAAAACCAGCGTTTTTTCTGTCCCAAGGACTCCCACAAAAGCATACGGTGAACGATCGTTCTCTTTCTGTGCCCCCAAACAATGGAATTCTCTTCCACTACACATCAGCAATATACAGACCATCACAGCCTTCACAACTGCACTCAAAACACACCTTTTTAAACTCTACTATCCTGACTGATTCCCCCCTCTGACCGATAAAGGATGCTGCTGGGTGTCGTCCATGGCTTGACATGGAAATAGTTTAAATAGACATTTGTTTTGTTTCATTTAATTAATGTATGCTAATTCATTTTTTAAAAGTTGTTGATCATGTTTGTTTAATTGTATGTACAGCTATACAACACCACTGATATACTAAAAATAATACTTATAATAACATACGGGTGCGTCTTTATTCACGAAATACGGTAATACTTTGATTAGTGGCCAGAGCATTAGAGAGGAAAGATAATTTAATTATTACATTGTCAACTTTGTCACCTTAAACTAAGATTGTATTGTTTTTCCTTTCGTTAATGAAACTTGTAGTTTGTGTTAATACCGTTACGGTAAGGAGAGTCACACATTTAAATGGAAATAAATGCCTGAAGATTTTAAATCTTAATATACCGTATTTTCCGGCGTATAAGACGACTTTTTAATACATAGTAATCTTTTCAAAAGTCGGTTGTCGTGTTATACGCCAGGGATCGTCTTATGAGCTAGTGTACAGCCCAAACCCTATTTTTTACCAGGAAAGTAGGGGGTCGTCTGTTACGCCCAGTCGTCTTATACGCCGGAAAATAAGGTATGTAATGAAATCGTTTTGAGAAATAAATTTTTAAAATTGTCCAATCTCTTAATGAAATAAAATTCAAGTCCGCGGAGTTCAATAGTTGAACTGCAATATTTAAAATTATATCATTTACCTCAACCGTTTCATTTGATGTATTTTCAGAATCACGTTTGCAGCAGAGCGTCAACTATGTCTCTTACCTTAATCATATTTGTACTAATAAATCTACTTTCTACATTAGGAGTGCACTCAGGTACAGAAAATCAACATCTTATTAAAAATATATTTTTAATCATAATTGCATGAATTCATTCCAATATAAAATGACCTTATTTTTTATTGTAAAAACAGCACGTATCTCGCAAATAAATATAGTTTAGCAAACATGTTAATTTAGCTTGCAGCACTGGCTGGTTCGGCACTGACTGTCAGTACCAATGTCACTGTACCACTAACAACTGTGACAGCAGTGGGGAATGTCAGAACAGCTCCAGATGTGTCAGTGGATGGTTTGGCCCGGCCTGCCAATACCGTAAGTGATTAACCACAAATAAAATTAATTAATGCTATTAAAATATTAAGTTCATGGTGATTGGTGAAAAAACAAACAAAAAAACATATTTTTGAATTAGTTTGCGGCATAGTTGGCGTGTTTATATTTACGTATGACGTCTTTGTTATTTGCACTAGCTTTGTTGCTATTGGTTCTTAGAGAAGGATCTTTCCGTCCTTTGTTACGTGTATTATTTATGGCTGACTAAATTTCTCTAATCTTATAACGACACCTGAAAACACATGTGTAGTCGGTCCTACGCATGCGAAGATTACCAGGGCAATATTCAACTATTAGTACGCAGGCAGCCTAATAGTCATTGTTTTGCCTGGAGACCCTGCCCCTCCTGTATTATAGGACTCACGTGTCCTGGGGTGTGCACACGTTAGCTTCTACGACAAAAAGCAGTTGTTAGGATGAGCACACCTGCATGGTAAATCCCCAGTACAGTTTAACATAAAGCGTGGAAAAACAGTTCAGGGTCATGATTACACATTGCCGTTAATGGATTTGAGGGACGGGCGAGTTGTGACAGCCAATGATTCTGTTATACAGCTTGTGAGGGGACTGCTCATAGGCAACCGTTTCGCCCCCAGCTACGATGTGACATATCCACAAAAGAGAAACCACCTGTAGACATCTCAAAATTCATATGTTACAGCTTGATGCCTTTTGAGGGTAGAACCGCCAAAGCCGTCGCCTGTTCCGGTTTATTCGTGAATGCGTCAAATATCAAACTTGTATCATTCTTACGAGTATTTATAAAAATAAATGGCGTATCTACTTAAAAGTGACCTTTAATTTATACTCACGTCATGGATAGAAAATATCATCTCCTATAAAACATCTCAAGTTTTCTTCTTAACTTTACGTTATGTGTATTAAATTATTAAATGCATGATAATATATTCTACTGCATATAAATACTTAAAAATAAATTTTAAAAGTTAAATTAATACACCTTTAAATTCGATATGGATATGTTCCAGATACGCAAGTTACGCATAATGATGTAGGTAGCCAATTTGAGGATATAGAGAAGTGCGTACACACATAACGATGGTCTTTAAATGTTTCATCACAGGTGATCTTCTATCAACTGATGGCACCACTACGACGCCATCAAACACAACAGTTCTCAAAGATCGGGACGACGGCACGTGTTTGAATGGCTCCACAACCAATGTCACCGTGAACTTTGACACGAACGTCACGATGACGTGGATCAGATTCAGTGTTAAACGGCCTGGTTAGAGAGTTTTCATCTTAACGCAAACTGAACTTGTCTACGTCGGCCTATGTTAGTTTTGCCTGTGTTTACGTTTGGTTTTCCTATGTTAGTCAGAGCTGTGTCTTTGGTTTCCTTTGCTATTCAGAGCTGTGTCTACTTTTTACTTTACTAGTCAGAGATGTGCCCACGTTTCCTCTTGCTAGTCAGAGCTGTGCGGAAGTTTTCCTTTGCTAGACAGAGTTGTGCCTACGTTTTTCGTTTGCTAGTCAGAGCTATGTCTACGTTTTCCTATTTAAGTCAGAGTTGTGTCTTTGTTTATCTAGGCTAGTCAGAGCTGTGCCTAAGTTTTTCTATGTTAGTCAGTGTAATGTGTTTGTTTATCTATCCTAGTCAGAGATGAGTCTACGTTCCTCTATGTTGGTCAGAGAGTTGTTTTTGTTTATCTAATGCTAGACAGAGCTGTTTACGTTTTCCTTTGTTAGTCACAGCTTTGTCTTTGTTGACCTATGTTTGTCAGTGTTGTGTCTTTGTTTATCTATGCTGGTCAGAGCTGTGTACGTTTTCCTTTGTTAGTCACAGCTTTGTCTTCGTTGACCTATGTTAGTCAGAGCTGTGTCTTTGTTTATAAATGCTGGTCAGAGCTGTGTCTACATTTGCCTTTGTTAGGGAAGGAAATAAGGTAAAGATTACCTACAACCCATAATCCATTCCCAGTGCAGCAAAACAGCCATTTTAAGAGCTTTTAAAATAATGGCAAAACTACAATAATCACACGAATTACTGATTATTAAAAAATATTAATATATAAAATTAACATACTGTGGAAATTTGATGTTTAAATAATTTTCAACAGAGCTAAGAAATAATGTAACAATGCTGTTGAATGGTTCCCAAAACGTGCTGATTGACTGCAAGAAAATTTTTTTCATCGACCAACGGACAGTGGATGTTTTCTGTGATTCAAATGTGATAGCTCGTCAGATTACGTTGCTAGGATCAGGAGTAGGCTCCCTGTGCTCTCTTTACTTCAGTGGAGGTAGGTGGTACTAGGATCTAACTTTTATTGAAAAAAAAGGATTTTCGTCCTGTTAATCTTTAAACACATGTTTAACTTATATTTTATAGGAAATATTGGAACAAGAAGCGTTTAGCTGGACACGAAGTTATTATGATTATTATTACTTGTCTTACGTAGCGCGGAATATTTATGTACATTTATATAATAAAGAACAGCTGTTTAACAGAAAAACAACAACAAACGCATATACGAAATTTCTGTGCAATTATATAGTCCCCATTATTACATTATATATAGAGTATTACATTATTGGTCCAAAGAGAATTAATTGCGTTCCTTAACTGATGGAATTCATTTAAAAATCATGATTAATTTATGTTTAAATTGTAAAAAAAAATATAAAAAATTCAAAGCGGTAATACAAATTAAAAAGTGACAGATGGAATATAATATGGCATAAGGACATTATAAACTATCCAAATTAGGTCGAAATGTAGCCTTGGGACGAAGCGCCTTGCAGTCTACCACGTACACTGAAGAAGCAGCTGCGAGAGCTAGCAATGCTGTAGACGGTAACACAGATGGACGGTTCTCATCAGGTAGTTGCACCCACACAGGAGTAAACGATCCCTCGCCAAATTGGAATGTGACGTTCTCCAAAATGCAGCGCATCCATAAATATGTCATTTACAACAGAGATTCACGTAAGATGTTGAAATATTTATTTTTCATTTATTTATTAAAATTTAAAGAAAAAAAAACTTGAAAAATTATATAAAGTAAAGGAATAACCAGTCAAAGTTTTCTCTACGTTTAAAACGTCAATCCTTAAACACTTGTTTTATATATTTTTCCTATAAATTCTTCATAGAATGTGATGTCGAACAATGAATGATAGGGCTGAACATTTCACAAATTATGTGACGAGTATCACAATTTATGAAAATCCCAATTATTTGATCCCTCTCCTCCCGCCCACAAGGCTTGCAACCACACCATTTTTTTCACGCAACTGAACTATATTACTATTCTAATGACCCACCCACTTGAACACC